AGAAATGGCTACCCACTAAACACTAATGAGGAGACTATAACCCAGACTTTCAAAGTGTCGGGAAAATGCCTCAACGACAAGACTACACCGCAACACTCAAATACCCCAACCAAAGCAAACAGTAATGAAAACTAATTACTGATAAGGAGTATGAATGAATGAGTGAGTGAGTTAGTTTAGTTTTACGCCGCACTCAGCAATATTCCAGCTATATGGCGGCGGTCTGTAAATACGTCTGGACCTGACAATCCAGTGATCAACAGCATGAGCATCGATCTACGCAATTGGGAACCGATGACATGTGTCAACCGGGTCAGCGAGCCTGACGACCCGATCCCGTTAGTCACCTCTCACGACAAGCGTGGGTTACTGAAGATCAATATTCTAACCCGGACCTTCACGGGTAGAATGAATGAATGAATGAATGAATGAGAAAGGTGGACGCACATATAGTGTATCAGAAGGGACACATTAGAGCAACACATTCCTCAGACCACAGAAGACAAATCCATCTACATGGTACCGTTAATCAGTCACTGGACAGCAAAGACGTATAATTTGACATATCATCTACATACAAGGAAACAATGGCTGTAGTGCAAACAGGCGTTCTTCTCAGCGTGGCTATGAAGAGGTACAGACAGTCGTGGCATAAACTTCTACACAGACGACATGCTCCAGACATGTTGAAATCACTCTAATCAGAGGGCGGTGAGGTAGCCTTGTGGTTAATATTTTATTTACTACTATCTGTTTTAGATATAATATAGTGCCTTGTGTCTCATAGGCCATATGGCCGGATGTTATATTTTGTTGAATGTTTTAAATTTTATGTATGTTTTATATATAACATGTGAAACAACATTAAAAATATTTTCTTCTTCTTCTTCTTCGTTAATGCGTTCGCTCGGCACGCCGAAGACGTGGGTTCGATTTCCAATGTGGGGAATCGAACCCGGGTCTTCGGCGTGACGGGCGAATTCTTTAACCACTAGGCTACCCCATCGCCCCTCGTGACTACATGGGTGCCACGTTGCCGATGTGATCTCTCACCCTGGACGTACGCACCAGGATGCTGGGCGATAATATTAAACCGCAGCAGCCTTTGCTTGCCGTAAAATACGAATGAATGGATTACGTGTTCAGTTTCGGTGATTGCATGTCATCGCATCCCAATGGCCATGAAATCAATCACTGGCTTGTCTGGTCCAGCCTCGATTATTTGCAGTCGGTCCCCATGCAGTTGAAATGTAACAAACGCATACAGTCACCCTACAACTGAGATGGCTGAATAATGTTTGTCCTTGCTTCGGGACTCCTTCCCTAGCAATACAACCCATATTGACCACTTCATTCAACACCACTGTTGACCATGCATATATTCCCAAGATCGGGTAGGTGTAACAAGAATACTTTACCCGATGTTTCCATAAATAAGATAACTTAATAACACAAATAAATAGCACAACATTATCAAATCTTCGCTTATTGGAAGGCGAGAATTACCGAACCCTTACCTTACTTCGTGAAGAGGTTCGATCGAAACGCAAAAGTAAAATATTACCTAAAGTTGAATTTATTGGGACAAGACACTCGCCGTCCTTAGCTGACGCGGTATTTGTGTTACACACGCATACACGTTCTCCTACCAGTGACAAAAGCATGTTTTTAAATTATGTCACGTCGCTCTAACAGTAACAGGGTTTCTTAGTGTCCTCAAAACGCGGGGGGTATAGCTTTCACTTAAGCAGCGAGTATCTTAAGCAGCTTTGTGGAGACAAAAGCTGGAGAACAACTTGACCTTCGACAAAATACTTCAGCCTTGACTATATCGCAATTGCGTATCTAAATGCGGTTAAAAGATTACAGATTCGTTTGGGTAATTAAGCTGATCTACTTGAACTCAATGTGCCTTAACCTTGCATAAAATAACTTTCATATTATGTGCGCAACAATTTTCCATGTTTTGGAACTAAAAAGAGAAACAATTCTGAGTATCTTATAATAGATATAATACACCCATATTCAAGATTAAAACCATCTGATATATGTGAAAATATCCAACATGTCAATCTCCTCAGTTTATATAAAAACTTACACCCCATGATTAAAAAATCCCGGTATCCTAATGTCGCCGGGAAAAAAATTCACTCATGATGCTTTCATTAAAATTACTACATGTTGGTGCACTGCGTAATGGCGTGTGTAAAGGAGAATATTGATAGGAATTAACAACCTCGGTCATTTAGCTACATCCATGAGTGGCTAGTCGTGGAAAACCTTGACCCAAAGAAACAAGCTAGCCCTTTATTGTGTTGTTTCGTTAAGTGGAAACTGATGAAATCTATTTTCTCTGTGACATGAAACTATGGACAGTGGAGTCAATGCGGCCTTACAATTTACCATGTCCTTGTAAAGTCTTGCAAGAAGCGGCCTTGCGTTGTTTTCTAAACCTACCATTATGCAGTAGTGATAATCAGTAAATGTTTCGATGTTAAACATGACAACACCAAGTCTTTCTGGCGAATACATAATTGTTTCGTCATCTCGCTCATTGTGAGTGAGTGAGTGAGTGAGTGAGCAGTTTTACGCCGCTTTAAGCAATATTCAGGAAATGTCACCTCGCTAACAGAGTGCACATTATTATGGATAGATATAGCTGCTTGATGAATACTTTTGGATAGATTATAATGTCATGGTTAGAATAGTAACGTTTTGGCGTTATCTGTTTTTGAAAACATCTTTTTCACCCTTCTTTCGTGTCAAATCCTTCTACAAGACCATAATTTCTAGCTAAAAATTATTTTGACAAGAGAACCCTTCCTGGATCTCATTTCGTTTGGCTAGATCAATTACTAGGTGTGGATAATTTTGGCTAGAATATCCACTATTGATAGATGGTAAGTTCACGGTTTTAATCATTTAAGCTTAAAGTCCTTTAATGGTAGGAATATAGTTGTCAAGATCACAATTTCTGAGTGAATAGCTTGGACTAGATTAGATTTTCTAGTATTACTTCTGTCTAGTAAACAGCCCTTGTTTAGAATACCGTCCATACCGTTGTATCTTGTTGTATTAGTTTTATGTGTAAATTAATACTTTTGAAAAGACAAATGCAGTCTTCAGATGCATATCTTTACCTCGCCATATTTCTCCCGGTATGGATTTTTGGCTAGATATCCGTTTTATGCAATATAATGTATTTCTTGTTAACAATTTCAAAATATTTAGAGTATAACGTTGGTATTTCGATGCGGCAATACAAATTGTTTTCTTGAATATTTTGTCTGATCACCTCCCCTGTGTATATCAGAGCGCATACATAATTAAACACATATATTTACATACATAATATTTGAGGAATATTAACGAATTTTCATGTCAAAATATTGCTGACAAAACCTAAAACAGTGAGGCATTTTTATCGTTTTGAGATAAACAAATATGCAAAACGCAGGGCCCGAATGATGTAGAGATTGTAACATTTGCTGTCAGAAGAGTCAACTGCCTACAAGAAGTCATGAAATGCTTTTCAGCAAACACATCGATGGTGGATTCGCAACAGACATCGTTGTATTGCGAAGTCCCGACCTGAATTAAATTACAAAGTGAATTTAAAATACATTCAGTACAAGTATTTCTTTAGAACGTGACATTATCGCTTTTGTAAACCTATTGACGTTTCTGTTTTATCGGATATTAGTTTCAGATTACACCCATTATGGAATAGGAGCGGTGGGGTAGTAGGTAAAGCGTGCGCTCGTCCCGCCGAAGACCCGGGTTCGATCTCCACATATGTGAAACTCATTTTTGTGTCCCGCCGTGATATTACAGGAATATTGCTAAAAGCGGCGTAAAACTAACCTCACTAACTCACTCACAATGACATATCAGTGTGTCAGCTGTAATAAAATGGAGGTACGATTCGTTTCACTAGATTCATAGTTATTAGCCAGGCAACACGTGACACCTGTGTGCTTAATCAATACTTACTTATACAGCACAACGAATATTCGCCAATGAAATAGGCCTCGGTCAAATATATTCCCCAGAATGTAGCTTTTTCACCTGTACACGTTTCGCGTGGCATTAATTCACCTGTTTTACTTCAGTAAAGAACACGACGCAACATCGCCGGAGTCGGAGTTTGTACATTCCGAATTTGATTTTTAAAATCTCAAATCTAATCCTGTGCAAAATATGACAAGATCAATTGTAAGAGTGTTTGTGTTTCGTTTCTTCAAGTTATTTTTCCTTCTCATTCGACCCACTGTCCCCAGCGCATTTTACAATAGTGTTTTATTCGACCCCTTCTTAGGAAATACTCGGCGTGCTTCAAAGGCCGACCGGTGCAAAATCGCTGGAGCTATGTCTTTGGCAAAGCGACCTGTTGGCTCGCGATAACACATGCGCGACAGTCCAAGGAAACATAACTTTGATCGAGAAGCATGAAATTTGACAGAAAACGTTAATTTTTTAACAGCCATTAACAGCGCCTATTAAATAAATTTGACAACTGCCATGTTTAAATATTGATTGAGCAAACAAAACGTATTCATTTCTAGGTTAAGATTAAGTTTATAACTCACAGTGTGGAACAGCAATTGTTTTAAACTAGTTGGTCATTTTTGTATACTTATATATGTTTTAATACGTAAGATATGACACGAAATACTGAATAGTAACAGGAGTCGGATATCTGCGGTATTGATAGCTTAAATCACACAAATGCAGTATTTTTTCACCGTGAGTCGAGGCAATATTAACGACAGAGACGGACCACACAGTATGTGTACGCCGTAACCCTTGGATTAACATGTCTGCAGCAAAATTTGAACAGCAAGCCCACTGAAGGGAAATTGTGACGCCATCTTGGATTGGGCAACGGGAGAGCACAGGCGACAGACATGCTGCTCGGCCGGTGACAGCTTTGGGGAAATGAGATCTTGGGTCGGATATGAACGACTTCAGTCCGGAATGGCATGTGAAGGCTCACCTACCTGTTTGTGTGACTCTCGGGTGGAGCAAGGGACTCAGCCCTCAACACCAGTCGCATTCATTCGGAGGATCTCGGTCGTGAGAGATCACGTGATAGAGCTTGTTACACATCGCTTTGCCAAGGTAGAGAGAGGGGATATCGCAGAAATTCGCGCGCAATTTTTTTATGACGTTCGTGTTATGCTTATTGTGTAATATAAATTGCTTGAGTGGTAAGCCTCGATCTGGTTTCGTTTAAAATTAATAAAGTTTATTTATTTTGAACCCTTCTGAGGAAATGATTGACACAGTTTTCGAAGCAGTGTTTACACATTCCGATAGCAGTCATTAGGCTCTTAACCACGCTGGTAAATTAATGCAGTGGGCTTGAGGTATTTAAAGGCGTACTTCCGCTTGAGGAATCGTGACTGAATCCACTACGTGTAACGGAACATGCCTATTTTTTCCCAGATTAAATGTATGAAATTCAATTAAAACAGATTTTCGAATGCTGTCAGTTTCGATAAATAAATCCCCGAGGTGAAATATTTGATGGATATGACAAACTAATCTGATGTCCTTTTCTGTTAATAATAAATTATACCAGAATAAATTATATATCAACGTCCCTTTAAGGTCTAACAAACATTTTTTTCTATAAGTGACATTAAGAAGCTGTTATGACTTAATTTTGTGATTTGACAACATCTTTATTGCAGCAGATTCGACGTTTCTGTGTAGATGCTAACGCCGTCATCATGCAAGTGACACAACATTAAGCACAAGGAGAATAAATATGAAGGATAATTGAGTTATACAATCGAGGTGGTTGATGTACAATGTACAATGTGATGATATTGCTGATAGCTGTTGTGATCATAGATAATGGCTATGAAGCCAGATACACAAAGGTAGGAGGAGTTACTGTTATTTGTTGTTGATCAGCTGATGGTAAGCTGTAGGGATGTAATAACCTTGATCTCTGTTGATTGTCGGGTTGCGTCGTTTGATTTTGATTGACGTTTTCTGATCTTGTAGGCTGACCGGTTGGTTTCAAAAATATTCCAAGGGATCGAACATTTATTTTTTCACACTGGTTTAATTCTATATCATTACATTGAAATATAACAGCACGAAAAATAATTATCTTGTTTGATATGACTACCACCAAACAAATTACTCGAATTTTTAATTTAATTTATTTAACATAAAATAATTCAACTATATTCTACATTAAAATTTCATAAATTTTAGTTTTTTCATCTAAACTTGCTTACTGTCAAAATATCGTTAAATCCTAGATAAAACATTGGGTATATCTTAATGAATATTAATTATTTATAATGAGAATTAAATTTTAATTACATCGTACTTTTCACGAGTATAAATATCGATGTACAGACGAGTAGACAGAAATAAATATTTTTGTGAGCACAATGTGTTTAAAGCCCCTATCACTGATCAGTGTAAATATTCTCACGTTTATCATTTTGAATATGAAAGGAGCCCACGCTCTAATATAAGTGACGTGCAGTGTATTTTTAAATAATTATTATTTATCATAAAGGTGTTAAGGTGTTTTCGGGGAAGTCATTCAACACTGCGATTTACTATTTTATCAATAAAGAGAACATATTATCTGGTCGATGATGTCCATGAATAGCTGTTGAACTGTCGGCGTCAAGCTCGTGATCGGACATACTGTATTTGTAATTATCATGAGCCTAACCGTAAACAGAAATAACGGTAATTATAGGTCAGCTGATATTACGAGTAAATGCTGATCACTTGATAAGCATCATTGAGGGTGAATAGGTACAGGTATGGTTAACAACCGCCCTTTCTCCTGCATAATTACTGCTGGATTCACCAGAGAGGGACTTCACATGTTATGTCCGTTAAGAGGCTTGAACCCAGGCCTTCTGGTAAGCGAACGGCTTGACCACAAGGCTACCTCTCTGTCCTTGCCTCGACCCGTCCAGATCCGAGTTAGAACTGGTCTTCAGCAATCTCTGTTGGTGGTAAGAGGCGACAATTCGATCAGACTGTCAGGCTTGCTGACTTGTTGACACATGTCATTGTATCCCAATTGCGTAGATCGATTCACATGATATTGATCACTGGATTGTCCGGTCTAGACTCCATTATTTACAGACCGCTGCCATATATAGCTGGAATATTGTAAACAACAACAAATAAAATCAAACAAACACTACGCTTACCTCGCGCTGGAAAATGAAAATACAGTTATATTACTGTATCTCGCCTTTTAGCACTTCTTTGGTATATATTGCGGAAAATAGCATGCACTTTGATTCCAAAAGAGAAAAATAACCGAAGACAAACGTCTCCAAAAGACAGACAGATATGGATGGTCCAACATCAGACAATTCATGAAATAATCAGGAAAAATAGAAACAAAAGGTTGCACCCACAATATGTAACAGTCTGATAAATGTCAGACACACAGAAATAGTTCTATATGTCTCAACAGAAGTGAGGGATACATTGTGTTCAAAGAAACACAGGGTCGATATACTGTGAAACACGTGAAGGTGAAATCGGTGACAATTGCTGTGTTAAAGAAATAGGAAACAATGTTAAACAAAGATATGTGTGAATTTGTGGTTAAACAGACATTAATTAGAAATTTATGTTGGAACACATATCAAGGATAAATTGGGGGTAAAGGATAATTTGACACACACAGGGGTACAGTTAAACAGACATGGATTATCATTTGTTGTTTACGTTAATCAAGCATATATTTATGGTTAACCAGAAACAGGGAAAACTAGGATAAAAGTGAAATAAGGGGAAAACATTCCAATAAGAGAGGAGACAGAGAATTGCCAATTGATATAAATAAAAAAGGAAGCTCAATGCATTTGATAAGTAAGGGCAGTTCGTGTGGTTGATAAGAACGGTTAAATTATACGAGAAGAAACACGATCAATCTATAATATAAACAAAGACTCATCCATTCATATCGAAAAAATGTAAAGTCAAATCAGAGATATAAACACAGGTGAAAATACCGGCACACAAACACGTATACATGTTTTCACCGCCAGGCAGAGAAACGCAAATGCTATCAAATGCGATTTGAGGACAATTTCAAATTTAGGCATATATTTAATAATGAGAGAAGCTTAATTTACGAAATATTAAGTCTTTCTAAATTGTATTGTGAACTTTACAAAGACCCAAGAAAATATTTTCAGTTAAAGCAGTGCTACCTATATTTCCATAAATATAAGAATTGGTTAAACATACCCTGAGAATTTCAAAACGTTTATACCATTCACTGTTAGACTAACATCTAGTCTCTGAAATGTACATATTTTGCAGAAAAAAATGTTCGCAAATTATAATCACAAAATGTGATGAAAAGGAGCCCAGAGACTTTCTTCATTTTCAGAATCTGTGGTAATCTAGACTTGCCACATACTCTAGACTTGCCACATAATCTAGACTTGCCACAGAATCTAGACTTGCATGGGCTGCATTGGATATAATTTAATTTATTTATTTCCGGGTCTTTGTGGCACACTGCATTGGCTGTGTGCACGTCAAGAGGTCTGAAGAAGAAGTCTACATCGGCCTGTGTGCGAGGGATAGTCACCTTGATAATAGTTCATTTCAAACATCCACACGCATGTTACCTGTAGATGAGATCATTACAGCGTTAACACTGACATCCCGGGGTGAGTGAGTTAGATTTACAGCGCTTCAGCAATATACGGGCAATATGACAGCGTGTGTGCGCGCGCGAGTGTGTAGGGGTGGAGGGGTCACACACGTAATACACACATGTAAATGTATCACTGTGATGATATAATTTTCCTTGTCGATATGAGAATTAAGAATTCAGGTCACCCTTCACAGCAAGCCCCAAAACGTGTGAGTTCTGACTTATACATTTTGCATATAATATATATGTAATTTTATATTTAGCTATATATACATATATATTATGGAGGTTCAGATTATTGCACTCCATGCATAATTGTATTAGACGTCTCCAAATGCATGCCTGGCATAAGAAGGTGTACAGCCATGTTTGGTGATGACGAAAACTGAAACACACAAGAAATTATTTCGTAGAGGGAAATGTCCGAGTACCTCTCCATTCTTTAAAGATAATGGTGCCGAGGCCCCATTTTAAGGAATGGAGAGTTACGAGGACATTACCCTACTTAAATTACATTCAAAGTATTGGGAATATTTCTGTTATCAAAATTAAATGTCAAAATGACAAAATGAAGGCTTTAATTTGAAACTGGGACACATCGTTCCATTCATGAAAAATAGTGAGCGAGCAGACAATGGAGTGACGTCACAAATGTCATTTAAACGTGTGTAACACAGTTGTAGTTTGCAGTTTTTGACGGGTCGGCGACTGTTTCCATCCGAGGTATGCTTCATCACGATTTTAATTATTTGGTTAAATTAGATTCTCAAATATGTATTTTCTTTTACCTTTCTTTTTCTGTGTGAGTGAGTGTGCTTCGTTCATTATTTAACTTTCGAAATATCCACTGACAAAATGACCTGGTATAAGAGAAATAAAATATAATATATACATGTATATATAGTTTATATAACTATATATATAGTTTATTTCTGTCAAAGAGGCCACAGGCCCATAGAACAATACAAGTACACAAACACATGTTTTACAAAAGCATCATGTTAACACTTGTCCCAAAATTGAATAGATATGTATACTGATACATATGTGCAAAGCATATTAATAAATACAACTTTTACTACTGTTACTATTATATATTTAGTGTACCATAAAGTTTAAAATAAAAAAATATATATTTACCAAGATTTAAAATAGTTGATTGACAATTGTGAGTTACAACATTATAATACAATATAATGTTCGTATGGAAAGGAAAATATAATTTAGCAAATGTCCTAATGACTTGTTTGTCATCGTAGTGATTTGGGTTACAGAGCTGTACCAAACTAACATTATCTCCATTTTGTTGACAAAAGTCCGTCACAAATTTGCAGAATACAGTTGCACATCAGAGTATAGCGTTATATCAATATATCCATACCTGCTCATCAAAATCTGTACGTAGAACACATAACTTCTAATTT